CCCCCCCCCCCCCCCAGCTGATTGATGCATCCTGGGGTCTTTATTCCCCTCTCCTGATGATACAGGATTAATTGGTGGGAGATGCTGTAATCCTTTTAGCTTCCACTGAACATCACTGCTTTATGCAGATTTTTTTTTTTTTGGTTGCTTGGATTTAAAGGGCTGGTACCATATAGCTGTGCATTTTGCTCCACTTAATTAAGACCCTGCTATTCCCATTTGGCTGGCAGTGCCAGCATATTGGTGTGTGCATAGACAAGGATGCTAATCTTTGTGGAGATCTTGGGCCGTTCGATAGATGTGAGCTGATTGCATGCGTGTGTACAGATTGGAGAGCGGTTTACCTGGAGTGGGTTGCAGTTATGATTTATGGAGAGGTCCTTGTCCGAATTAGCCGTGTTCTCCGCTTGTGCCGCGCTGTTCCAATACGGTGAAATGCCGGGTTTGGATTTGAATCCACCTTGATTATATTTTTTAACCTCTTCCTACCCTGACTCTGTAGAAACGTTCCCTGTGCTGTGTTCTGCCCCCCTGCCATCCCCCCGCCGTGTCTGGGATAATCTGAATAAGCAGAGAGCAAAACCCAGGGGAGCTCCTGGTTGTCAGGGGCTGCCTTAACTGAGTGGCTCTTGCAAGCTGCGTCTGGCTGGCGGAGCTGTGGCCTCCCTGCAGTGATGTTGCTGCCGCTTTATAGCCCGAGTTGGCTCTGGAGAGATCTGGGTGCGGTCCCTGTCTGCTTGCAGGGCTCGGCCACCTCTCGCAGATTGGATTGTGCCCTGTGCAGCCGGCCTGCAGAGGTGAGCTAGCTCCGACAGCTTCAGCCTCCCCTAACCAGGGGAGGAATAAAGGCCTCTGAGCACAGAGCCTGGCTGGAGGCTGCAAGGACAATGCTGCCGCCCCCCACCGTGGGAGAGCTACACATGGGTGACAAAGCAGCCAGGTGTGGGGGGAGGCTTGCACTGGGCTCTGAGTCTCCGTGCCGGTGCCTGTCTCCTCCTCAGGCATCGCTGTCTGCATTGAGGATGAGCAGATTTAACCTGTCGGGAGCCAGACCTGGCTTTCCCCGCTGCATTGTTGTCAGGGTTGGGGGGGGGCAGCGGGAGACAGGAGGCACAAGGTTTGTTTGGTCTGGGAGGATGCTGATGGAAGATGTTCTGCTCGCTCCAGACCCGAGGGCTTTCTCAAGCTGTTGGATGGAGATAGGGCCCATATTGAAGGAAGAATATGATTCAGGAGACTCTAATTTGTATTAACACTCTGCTCCTCCCATCCTTCCCCCCGACTCTTCTTGACCCCCCACATAAGAATTCTCCCCATTTTACAGGCAAGGGAGAGGAGGCACAGCTGAGCCCAGACTTTGTTACGATAACACCCCGGTCCCCCCAGGCCTTACCAGCCAGAACACCTTCCCTTTTGTTCCCAGAACGTGCACCTCGAATGAGAACAAAAGCCCCGTCAGGGCAGGGGTTTGCCCTCCTGCAGGGTCTTTCATTTGGAGATCCTGGAGCATGTTCTTATGTAGGGGGGAGACAGTCCCTGTGAGCTGAAAGGATTTGTCCAAAGGTCACATTGCAGAACAGAGGTCTGCTAATTCATAATTAACCACAAGGCAATAGTGCTTGAGTTTGCTCCTTGCTTTCCATCCACCTCCGCTTGTCTTCTGAAGCTGGACACAAAGACAAGGAAGGTGGAGCTGTGCTTTCTGCCCCCACACTACCAGATCAACCCCCCCCCCCAATCATTTTGCTTTGATTTCCACCCCGTTTTTGTAATTATTATTCAAGTGCTTTGAAGCTGAATTTGTGGCTGCCTGGCTCAACTTCTAGAGCAGGGGTTGGAAAGCTTTTAGGGCAGCAAGCTGGGCATTTGTGACCCAGATGCAACTAAGGCTCACCAGTCCCTCCGCCCCATGTTCCTCTGATGCCCTCCCTGCTCTGTGCTCCTCCCTGCTTACAGGATGCCACCAAAAACCCTGGTGAATGCCAATGCAATGCCAATGAGCCCCTGCAGCACCCTGGGCAGGATGCCAACAACTGGAGGGCACAATGGCTCAGCAGGGGACACTGCAGCACCCCTGTTGCCACCCCTAGGAGTCTTTGCTATAGTGGGCATAGTAGCCCTGTACCACCCAGCCTTAGAAACCATGCAGCCGTTTGCTCCACAGTGTATGGCGAGGAGGGGTTTTGCTGAACGGAGCCCTTCCCTGAGACATCCTCGTGGGGGCACAGCTCTGTGCCCAACAGAGTACTGGGGGGTGGATGGGGAATGTGAACAGGGCACCAGGGAAAACCACCAGGGACAACCAACTAGCCGCAGGGCCGGGGCAACTGGTCGGCAGCGAGTCTTCCCCTCAACCACAGCAACCCTGCTATCGCTCCATGCACTGCCCAGCACAGGGCTGTGCCTGCCATTGCAAAGGCTCCTGGGGTTGGGCCGTTTTGGTGCCCCCTCCAAGTTGGCCCAGGGTAGGTGCCCCGCTTGTCTTGCCCTAGTTATGCTACTGCACCAGTGCGAAGCAGCAGATTCAGCGTCGAGGGCCCAGAGCAGGAGGCTTTAAGCTGCTGCTTTAACATGGCCCTGTTAAATTGGCACCATCCCTCCCTGGGCCATAGGTTGCCAGCTCTTGTTCCAGAAGTTTCCTCCAGTTATTTCATGAACACAGGAATTTTGTATTAATAGCATGATTGACTTTTTTTTTTCTTAATTTAAAAGCAGGAGTCCAGTCTTTGAGGGAAACCAACTGCTGACCTGAAAGCGGCAGGAAAGCGAGGGATAAACCCAGGAGCTATTGAGGCCAGAATCAGGGTTCAGTCCAATGTCGGCACCGCATTTCCAGCACAATAAAAGCATGTCTGTATTGTGCATGGTAAAGCCTTGTGGCACAAGCACCAGCTGAGTAGGGGTTTGGATAAACATCGTCCGGGGGGGGAAGTTGAGGTCTCTGTTAAGCACTGAAAAACGTCATCTGCTCCCCCTTGGGAGTGTCGCCCTTGACTTCAGGGGGATGGGATTAGGCTGTGTTGCTTGGGAGAGCCGTGGCAAAGGGCCGAATGTTTTATGACCGGCTCTCAACGAGCTCTGTGGGACTCGTGCACAGGACCGTGCTTAGAAGACAGTAGAGAAGTACAGGGATGCTTGTTTGGTGAGAGCATGCCACGGCAGGGCAGGATTAATGGTCCTCTGCAGAGAATTGCATTTTCTCATGCAGCGTCTCTAGCGTGTGGTTGTTGTCGTCTCTCTCCCGGGTTAGCGTTACAGTCTGGAGGGAGCTGCTTGTGATTTGGATCGTAGCAATGTTATCTAGGGGGAGGCTGGGGGATAGGAGTCAGGAGTAAGTCCCTTAGAAAGTTTAGGTCTAAAGTGGTCTCTAGTTTTTTTGTCCTGGCCTGGGAAGTGCTGGAGGCTGGCCATGGGTAAGAGGGGCCTCTGAAAACCAGGCCCAGGGGATTTCAATTTGGATATTCAACATGAGGAGGGCTGTCTGCAAAGTGCTGGCCTCCACCGGCCTGTGCCTCATATTTAAAACTGAGCCTGCTGCCCGGGGCTATTGTGAAGCGCGGCAGATGGAAAGCGCCTGGAGATCCTCCAAGGAGAGTGCAAGGGCTGCTGTTTGTCAGGAAGCATCCTAGAGAAGAGAGTCTGGAGCAAAGCAGGAGCTGCGATTGAACAGGCTTTTTCACAAACCCTTCCTGCCCAGTGGTGTGTAAGCAGTGTGCCCACCATCTTGCAAGAAAACCCTTGGGAAATTGTTTTTATTCCTTCCCAGGCAGAGAAAAGAAAGGGGAAGGATGTGACATCCTCTCCCCTGGCCTGTGGTGCCGGCTCTGTTGGGTTTGCAAGACTGTTGTAATGGCCCAGGGGACTTCCCCAGGGAGCTCATCCCTGGCCCAGCCATTCCTGTGCAACCCCCGGGGACTCCCAGCATGGGTGACATAAGGGACGTGGCTACAA